CGTACGGACTCGACTAAAATCCCCAACCAATGATGTGCCCTGGCGTAGGGGGCACGAGGAAATGCTCATACCCTGTTCACTCCTGACCAGCAACTGTCCACAAATAGCCCTAATCACCAAGTACTTGGACATTACTTACCCATCTCAGGATACGGACTTGAGCTAAGTGACTCTATCTCCTTTACAAAATTAGTTGACGGAAACTCTAGTTTTAAGTTAAAAAACTTAAGTTTTAAATATATTTTTAACCTCATGACAACCAGTCTTAATCAGACTTCATTCAGCTTCGAAAAGAAAAACCGGAGGCTTTCGATTTACTGACCAAGCATTCGTTTGAATACATTGAAGAAGGTTTCGACGTTCACGAAGGTCCTGACGAAAGACCGATAAAGTTCGACTTCAACATGTGTTCAAGACACAAGACCATCCAGTCAGTACTGCTTTACACTGTTGAGAAGGCGATTTACTCAATAAATAACCAATAGTTTATTGCAGGCTGGACGACACCGGTCGAGTTGTCAAAATTCAGTTTGGTAATGCCATGAGAAGCTGGTTCTATGACTGTGATCCTGAGAAAATCCAGGAAATCTACCGGTATGCATACTTTGATTACATTCGATTGCACTTTCCACCTAATAACCAAACGCCATGTACCCTTGATCAAAATTTTCGCCGTTCTAGATTTTGAAGTTTATGCTTAGAGCTGGCTGATTTTCTGAAACTGATCCTCCTGGCGCGGAAACGCCTGGCTTGCGCTTTGCTGAAAACTTGTTCCCAAGGGTAAGTAGCCTGAGCTAATGAGCACGAACCACATAAGCTCAGCGGAAACGCCTCACGTTGGCTCCACAGGAGCCAGCGGCAAAATTTGCTTGTAACGCTCGCTGTACGCTCCCTCCCTCACTCCCGATTTTGAAGTTTGTGCCCAGGGCGGGTTGACCTGAAACTGATCTTCCTGGCGCGAGAACGCTTTTGAGCACGAAGCACATAAGCTCAGAGTGGAAACGCCTCACGTTGGCTCCAAAGCCGTCGGCAAGAGTTGCTTGTAGCGCTGCTGCAGGACGTTCGGTTCCCCCTACGCCCTCCCCACCCGATGCATGTTCGTGTTGAAAGGATCAAATTATACTGGTGGACAAAGTTTGTGTCCATTCTTAATCAAACTCTGGCCTGAATTTTGAAAACTGGGCGATAAAACGTACTGTTTTTCAGGGCAATGAAAACGTTCTCGGACTACTGCTACAAGAAGGAGAATATTCTGAAGTTTGGTCTGGAAAATGGTGAGTGTTCCTGTGGGGGATGTGGATAAAGGACAAAAGGATGAAGCTTTCGCCGTTGTTCAATCCCTTCGCGGGATGCGGCACGCATTCTACTTCCTCAGAATCGTAGTGGCTTACTTAAAGGAGTGGTACGCGATGACCTATGAAAATGCAAGAGGTTATGTGGGAAGGTAGTGCGGTCCGGAGTGGACAACCCTGTGCAGGGCGGAAAGTTGTACGGTAAAGGGATTAAGGCGCAAAGTTGCTTCAGTGGTACATCCCTTTTTCCAGTGACTCCGCCTCCAAAGTCGGCCTTCCAGCCAAAAGTAATGCTCCCGGGCAAGTATCATGGAGTGGATGCATTCAATGTCTCTTGTAGAGTCATAGGGTTCATTACTGGGAATCAGCCGACGGGAATTGTCCCAGCGCGCGGTCTTTTCGGTCTTTTACCTCTACAGTTGTTTGAGGCTAGAGGAGGCCTGACGAATGCGTTTCCAACGTTCCCTTTGGCATTTTCTCTTCATAGATGGTTCACTTGGCGAATTTTCTTCCACATTTCTGCGAATCACCTGGACTTTTTATCGCGGACCGTGCCTTTAAAGTAGCCTATAGAATGACTTACGGGACCAGCCAATGTACAAGTCATTGTTTTCACCGTCCCAGACGAATCCAGTCCCAATTTGCCCGGAGGATAGGAGGCTTGGTTGGCCTGGGCGGCAGTTGACCCGGGAATTTAACCCAGGCGAGTGGTAAGCGTGTCGTTTACCTGTACACCATCTCGCCTTTCGCGATCCATAGTGAGCGTAGATGAGAGAACCATGGGATCCTGCATGGGAGCGGAACAGTGTCGCATCCCAAGAGGGAGGGAAGGGGAGGGGTGGGGATTCGTCAACCAGGGCAGTTTTTCCACCAATTATTGCAGGATTCGAATGGCATCATTTGCGCTCCTATTCACGTCCCTTCGCAAGTCCCCTGTTCTGCAGGCCTGCCTTCCTGTCCCATGTAGGATCCAATGGTTTCCCATCAAACTCGCTCGCTATGGATCCCAATAGGTGGAGGTTGTGCGGGGGCAAATGGCACGCTTACTACGCGCGCAGTCCGGAGATAAAATCCCGGATCGGCTACCACTCAGACCAACCAACCCTTTCCTGCTTTCGGGACGATAAATTGGAACCAGATTTGCTTTGGGAAGATAAAACAACAATAACAGAACGCTGACTTGTACATCAACTGAAGAATGACTGTACGACACCGTTACAGGCTGATTACTCATATTTCAGGTGACACTGTACTGTGGGCGAACACTCGATTACTTCATGGTCGTGAAGAGTACCGTAATGTTCCGAATGGCAATCGAACCTTGACCGGTTGCTATTTCTCGTGGGACATTATTAAATCGAGAGTGCGATCTCTACGACGAAAACTTGGTCTACCCACTGCCCAGCCATCGGCCTAGGACTCACACAGAGGAGTGAGGATTATTGAAATCTTCTGTTTAGAGCTGTACAACAATCGATTTCACCTCACGGATTTATATCACAGCAATAAATCTATTTTTAAATACAATACGAAATCACCTGAAACATCTTCTCAAATTCGTACAACATCTTCTCAGAAGTCAGTAAAGAATAGAAGAAGCTCAAAAAGATGGCATCATCATTCTTGATCGTAAAGCATGGGAAGGTTGTGCAGAAATGCGTGCATGTGTGTTCAGTCGTAATTTTACAGATAAAAGTAATCCAGATTGACGATGCCGACGAGATGAAAGGGCGCTTCTGTAGTTGAGGGGGGGGGTACGCGGTAACACCACTGAAGGCAGTGCGCAATATGGCTGGAGGCGGGTGTTCCTTGCCAGGTTCATTGGTGGAAGGGCTGCGAGAGGGCGTTCTACCACCCCCACCAATGACGTTGGGGCAACCGCCCGCCCCCAGCCATCGTGCTCACTGCCTTTAGGGCGATCCTTTCCTCTTCAGAAGCAAGTGCAGATGAATCTGAACCCGCGCGGCCTCTTCCGGAGTGCAGAGCACCGTCGCGTAGCACCCCTCAACTACAGAAGCGCCGAAAAAAGTGCTGGAAAACATAAAGGAAACGAGCGAAAAAAAGGGATTATGGCGGAGGAATACTGTAGCACGCGTTCTGCGCCAAGAGCGATATGCGGGTGATATGCGAATGATATGCGCGGACAGCGGGTGAGAAGTGACAACGAGTGATAAAGCTTTGCATGGACTGCCAAAGAAACGATGAAAAGATGAAAAATAACGCACGAACGACGTTACAGAAACGAAAAACAAACGGAAAAAAATCTCTAAAAGCAGGGTGAGGTCTAGGCCCTGGGATGAGCCTAGTCCTTCGCGGATATGTATGCATTCTCGGAATTTCGAAAAATTACGTACAATAGTAGTACTTAAGTACAATAATATCTTAACACAACATGTAGCACGTTAATGACTCTTTGAGACGATTGGACACTAACGAAACGGACAATGAAAAAAAGGCATCCGAGCCTACAGTAATCTCTGGCCTTCAGCATGCTAGGTTAGTCTATAAACGAATGATAAATGAGACTGAGGCGTTTTTTCGTTAACTCCAAATACATATTCCTAATATCGTTAAGCTCATGTGCACGTACAAGCCCTGCAATTAATACGAACTATTCGTGCACTCTATTGGAAGAGACCTAGTCAAAGTTACTGTCAAAGTTAGTCTGCGGGTCACTACAATCGATCGGTGACGCGGTGAATTGGGCCCACACTCCGATTCGGACGAGTTTCCTTTCCGGTTTATTTCGAAGAAAGCAGACCAATTACAGTCTTGTTCGGAACAGAGGTGAGGTGTGTCAAGACGGCAGAGGTTTGGCGCAGCGCAAGCCAGTTTTTCACCAATTGTGGTCGGCAGCTCAGCATCTAAGCTGGCGCGAAAAGTGCTGGCATCGCGCCCAAAGCCCTTCCCTGACACGTCTTATCATTCCCAAAGAACAGACCGTATTTCGCGCTTGATCTGGCAACCCGCGTATATATTGTCAAGACATAGTCGACAGAAGTACTTCTCCTCAGGAAGACTGGCAGATTAAGCGCCAGGGAAACTAGACAACAAAGGAGAAAATGAGCGGAGATATTGGCCCTGAGCGGAGATGTTGGTCCTAGTTTGCTTGCCAGGTATCCTCTGCTACTGCTCCTACCTCTGCCCGTAGCCTCGCCTTGCTACTGATAGTGAGTTTCACTCCTTTCTTGCAGCCGAAAAATGGTAACTCGTTGTTGCGGATCGAGGGATGGAGGCAGGCAAGCAGTGTATCTTAGAGTGAGGGGGATCCAGAGCAAATTTCCGCCTATTTTGCCCTTCGCTGGACTGCATGTCTATTGTTTAGTGACCAGAGTCACTGGAGCATGAGCAAGCATGGCTTCTGGACGAGAATGTCCCAGACTACCGCTGGGCGGGCCCAAGTGAATGCCCTATGTTTTCCTCTTGCAAGTTCAGTTCTTCATTCAACTGTTGGAGCAGCCTCGGAGGTCGAAAAAATCTCCTCTCTAAATCTTAGGTCATCAGATCACCTGAAAGAGACTTACAGTCAAGTTTTTTTTCACGTTACTGTGTGCTGCACCGGCACTCAAGACAACTCGTCCGAAACGACAGCAGCCCCACCCAGCGTCCACACCGACCTAGTAATGACCCAATTCACGAGAAAAAACGACTGTGCAAAGTAAAGCCCTCGATGGACAGGGTAAAATTAGAAGGGTTGGACCTCGAGGTGTGGGAAAGTGTGAACTAAGAGGGTGAGAGAAGAGACACAAGAGCGGTGATACGACAGGATTGGGTGGACAGAGAGTGTGAGAGTGAGAAGACGCAAAGTGCTCTTGGCAACTCACAGACACGCAGAGAGAGGGTGAGAGGGAGAGTATGAAGGAGAGGGAGAGGAAGAGAAGAAGGGTATCACAGGAGTGTCGATCTCTGAATATGGCATGAAACGCACGTACTCGTCAAATTTTGTATGCGATGTATCCTACCTATCGCATGAAAGAACAACATGGGGTATGGGGTAGGGGGTGAGGGATTACAGTAATACTGTACTGGGGGAAAAATATTTGTATGGAATCGAATCCCTGGGTATCGTTGCTGCTTCGTTATTGTAGCACCGAATCATCTACACGCTCCTAGTTTTCCCATTTCGCGAACCTTCGAGTTGATCAACGCGAATGGACGTCAGTTATGAGTAGAACATTGATAATAGAACAAAATGCAACCATAATTAATTAATGAATGAATCCGAACTGGGGCGGATCCGACTAGATTCCGGATTTGGAGAACGAGACCCGCAGATGAGCGTTCTCGGCCAGTTTGTGATTATGCATGGCGATCAGCGCGTCGATGGCCGTCTCGACGTCCTCCAGTTGGCACAGCGCCATCTTGTGATCCTTCCTAAAGAAAAATGTTAACCGTATGTGGTTGCTGTATGTGGTTCAGAAGAACCGAGTCGCGGCATTCGCGTAGAACACTAAAGTAATCCGAGCTAGTTGACACCACACTTCGGTTAGGCGAAAAATCAAATAAACCATAGCCACGTCCTACACTGATTATTATTATTTTAAAAATCTGACAATCTGAAGAATCTGAATGGATCTATTTACCGCATTCTCTCCCACCAAAGGTTGTCTTTGCCATTAAATAGACCGTTTTAGGGATGCGGCACGCATTCTACTTCTATGACAGCATCGTACGGCATGCGATATGGACCACGCAATGACTTGTGTGGCGAGCTAATGTGAATTC